CCTACACTGAGGGCTCTTCGCTCACACTGGGGAGTTGGTGAGCGTGTCCTAGGTTTCTGAGCGGGTCTGTGAGTCTGCATATGAGACATGGCGACAGCTCTGCTCTGGCTGGCTGTCGCAGTGCCTGCCAGCTTCCTACCCCCGCCTCGTTAGACGCCAAGTCCTGCCTCCTGCAGACAGCATCTTCTCTCCTCACTGCTGCTGCTGGGGAGACTCACGTGTGGACCCGTCTGGGGGACCATGACCTCGCCAGCAGCGGGGCCAAAGGGCTGTTTTGCTCTTTTCCGAGGACTCTGGCTCAGTCCCACAGCACCACGCCCACGTACAGCAGGTCTCGGCACGTTCTACGGTGTCACACAGACGTCAGCCTACAATGTCGGCGTGCTCGGAGTCGCCCTTCTCACCCCTCCCCCGGCTCCTCTCACCCTTCACGGTGAGTCTCTGTGCCCCAGGCCTGCCCTGGCCACCTCGTCACGGCCACCTGGTGTCACTCATTGCCCTGGCCCACCGCTCACAGGATGTGCCAAGCCCGTTCTCTCCTGAAGGCCTCTGATCTCTGCCCTCTGCCTGGAACTCTCTGCGCTCACCCCAGACCCAGCGTCTGCTAAACACTCAGCACTTCTGCCTCCGAGAACACCTGCTGGGGTATACAGTCATGGTAGCTTTTTAGGGAGCAAAAATGGATAAACATTTGCTCAAACGAACAAGGTGATCTTGACCAACACATCCGAGTCCTGACCCCGGAAGGGGAATGGAGAGAGGCAGGAGGGAGGGGTCCTGGAGGAGGGCGCAGGCTGGGAGCCATTTTCCAGGGGTTGACGTGAGGACAGAGCTCCAGTTTCCACCATAAAAGCCTGTGCCATCTGCCGTACCTCTGACAGAGCCGGGCTGGAGGAGGCCACCACTTTCTGGATGCTCTTCAGAACCTCCTCTGGACTGAGCGTGGCAAAATCGATTGTCACATCCTCTTCTTTTTCTTTAGGCTGAGGTCTTGATGGTTCGCTGTTCTCCAGTGCGCTCAAGAAGTCAAGGTAATCGATGGAATTATTTTGCCAGCTGACCCCCAAGCTTGTCCCAAAAGAAAGAAAAGAATATATTAATTAAAAAAATCCCATCACTTATTCATTCAACAAACACTTGCTGAGCACAGCACGGTGTGGAGAATGTGAGTGACGTTAAGAGCCTGTTCCCTGCATACCC